TAATTCTTACTTGATCACCCCCCCCCCCCCGCCAAGAAGGTCGGCGCGGGATCAAAATATTTACAGAAAGCACGTGGTTGCGCCATTTTACCGATCATAACAATTTTGAAATCTTGGACGGGGAAACTTCTTTAGTGGGCTTTGCGTAACTTTTAACTGGTATTTAAAACACACACATACTCATACACACGCACACACATTCATACACATGCACGCACGCACACGCACACACATTCATGCTCACCCACGCACAAATACATACATACTCATATACACCCCCACACATACTCATACATACTCATACACACTCATACACACCCACGCGCACCACACACATACATATGCACGCGCGCACACGCACCCTATCCGTCCCGCACACGCAAAAAGAGTTCAGACCCCGCGGAGCAAAAAGCTTGCGTGTTAGAACAGCTGATTTTCCAAACAAGGCGTTAATGGTGGTTGCTACGAAGCAGACGAGCGAAGGACAGCGCTCTGTATTGACCGCGACGGACTCTGCGCGTTTTGCAATGCCTTCGCCGACTCTGAGGACTCGTGGACTCTTCCATAATTTCTTTAACCTTTTTTCTCCAGTGAGGGGAGATTTCATGTTTTTTTTTCCAGAGGGGGGCGGGGGGAGGGATTTAAGCTAATTTCTTTTTATTTTTTCCAGAGGTGTAAAATTCCGAATAAAAGAAAGAAAAAACGATATCGGTCTTTACAGGACTTTTAAAATAATCATAATATGACAGCTGCAGATCTTGAACAGTTTAATTTATTTGTACAAGCAAATTTAATTCGCACAGATTTTCTAGTATGTGTAGAAAAAAAAATCCCGACTTCCTCCTATCCTTTTTATAAAAGTGGGAGGAAAGCGAGAAAAAAAAACTAAAAGTATACATATGTTTGTCCATAATGCTTCGATACTGCAATTTCTATTTCTGATTTTCTTTTCTAAGTTCCCAAGACGGCATATTGGCATATCTCAGACTAATATATCTTGCGTTTAAATCCACTAACAGTTAGATTTAATCAAGAGTATTCTAAATGGATTATGCAAATGTTTCCGACGTACTATCTATATTTGGCAAGAAAATTCTCGAAGGTTCTTCTCTTCCTCACTTTCATCCATAATTGCAAAACTACACTTGATGATAATCCATACTCGATTAATAATTAAAAACGGCAATTTTAAACAGATTTCTGTCGTACTTGCAATGGGGTAAGGCATATGGTAAATACTGGTTCCCTTGCCCTGCATATAATACTTTTAATCTCTATATTACTGAAATATACAAAAAATCTTAACAAACGTGAGTGCTCATTCATTATTATATTAAGAATATTTCCCGCGTAAGCTTCATTTTCGACTACAATGTCAGTCTGCAAATCTGTTTATAAACACACAAGAAGAAAACCTATAAACGCGTGACTTTAATGAATAATATATTTACATGATTAGGAAGAAAAAAAAATCCATTTCGATTGCACAACTAATCTCAATGTAAACTATATGCATAAAATATACTGTTCTATATCTTTATCTTTAAATGATTTCTTAAATAACAGGGGGAAAAATGCTAGGGAAAAGTGTTGACAAAGTTTCATGACTCATTCAGTTTCTTTCTCTTCTTTTCTTTCGTCTTATCGTATCTCTTATTCGTTACGAGAAGTAAAAATATCATTTCGTGTCCACTGTACAATAACACACCAAACTTCCCCGTTGAACATCTTCCCTCGTCAAAATAACCCCGAAGACCATTCTTTCAAAGCTAAAGCGTGCGTTCATAAGCACAGGATCGACGGGTCCCTTGCAAAAACAGTCATATATTATTTTTCGTCCGTCCAAGTCTTCGCACATCTTGAATATACAACTTCTCTCCCAAGAATTGTTTCATACGGGTGAAATGTGTCGACAACAATGAAAATTCGAACATTTGCGCCGTCGATCTGCTAGAACACATGTGCTGATGGGATCTGTACAGTGGGATTACACCGCAGGCCGAAATGGATCTTATGCCGGGGGAACAGAAGGACGGTTTTCCCCCTGTAATGGGTTACCTTACGTGCCCGCGTGTGCAGAACGCCAAAAGCCTTCAATAACACTTGTTGAAACCCCCTCCCTCCCCCCTCTCCTTATATTCGCTGAGAAACCCACTCGATGAGACACTCGCTGCTCTTAGACGCTCTCAAGACACGAGACAAGACGCGGGTAATCCACACACAGGGACAGGAGCTTCAGTGCAAGGAAATAGCGCATTGTTCCTTGGGAGGAGAAAGAAAGAGTAAGTGTTCATCAAGCAGAACTTGACCATTTGTGATCCTCGGGATTTTTTTCTAATCGCCAAAAAAGGGGGAAAAACAGGATACAGTATTCTAAATCCCTTAGCACGTTCTTTCATTCGCCAATCTCGCCAGCTTATGATAAAAAGAGAAAAATACTTATCGTAATCTCCTTGTTTAAGCGTCATCCTTTTTCATTCTCTCGGAGTAACAACCACAGGTAAGGAGTTATCAGCGGTAGTGGCTTACGAGTATCCGGTCTTGCCTGCGCAGTTAATTCAGTCATGTTGCTCGTTGACACTCCTAGCAACGTGCTTTCACAAGTGTCTCGAAACTCCGCTGCTCCTTCGTTTCACAATACGAGTTCTGTGATTGAGTGACTTTTGCCGTGATTTGGCGCGTCTCTCGCTGAACCAAGTTTTTTTTTTTTATTACTTACAAGAGACTTCACCTTAAATTCAATTCTTCCCGAGGATTTTCTGACACTTCCGCTGCCTGGTGCTTCTCGAAAGGTCTTGCTTGGCGCCGCTACGAACTCAGGTACAGGGCATTTACTTGAATATCGGTTTTAATCTTTATTAATTTGTTTTTTGATGTCTTGAAGATGGCAACTAATCTAGGAAAATGAGAGGTCAAGTCATTCATTAATTCTCTCAATCATTTTATATTTCTCTCTCCTCTCTCTCTCTCTCTCTCTCTCTCTCTCTCTCTCTCTCTCTCTCTCTCTCTCTCTCTCTCTCTCTCTCTCTCTCTCTCTCTCAAACACGCGCAAATTGCATGCATGTGCGTATTTATCAATCAGCTCTTTCCCCTCAACATTAAAACCTAAACCTAAGCCCCGAGTTCACTCCATCAAAACGTCGCGCTCGTCACTCTGCCGCAGCCCCAAGGTCGATTGATTGGCCGAGGAGGAGCGCCAGGCCCGGTCGCCGCTCTCCTTTCGCTTGGGGAATTATTCCATCAATTGCAAACGTAATAAATTTGTTATGCAATATTAATGAGAATAGGAATAGTAGGTAATGATAATCGCAAAAGTAATCAATTTGTTATGCAAGGATAATGATCACAGGAATACGCGCAAAAGTGATATAATAACAGCGACAGCAAAAGTAAAATGTAGTTCATTCCCCATAATTCACCATTAAAAAGAGAGAAAAAAATTAATAAACAAACAAACGAACAAGCAAGCTAACAAACGACAAAGATCTGCGACTGGCAAATCGCTCGACTCGATGATTCACAAGACGAGATTGGTCGCCTGGCCACGAGATTAGGAGATTAGGCGGGGGAGGCGTCGAGGACCGCATGCCGAATATGCATAAAAACTAATCGAAAATAAATTAACCCCGATAAGAATTACGGGATCGTTAGTGCATGCTAATCGGCAGGATAGAATTAAGGGCGGAGGTGATTGAGGGAGTTGGGGGGTGGGGGTAGGGGGGAAGGGGGAAGGGGGAGGGGAAGAGGGGACGGGGGTGAGGGAATGGGAGGTAGAGAAGATGAGTGATATTGGGAAGGTGAATGTATGGAGAGAAGACAGAGGGTGAGACTGAGAGAAGGGGAGATGAGAGAAAGGGAGAGAAAGAGAGAGGGATGGATGGAGCGGTGTGAGGTGGAGGCAAGTGGAACCTTTGCTTCGTTTTCCATCTCATATCTTCGCTGCGTAGACATTGTCTCTGCTCTCCTATCTCCTTACTTCCTTTTTCTTTCTCACGTTTTCTCTAACCCTCCTCCGTCTTACTCTTCCTGTCTCGTCCTTATTATTCTTATTCTTCCTCTCTACCTCTCATTATTATTTATTTATTCATTCACTTTATTCCTCTCTACCCCTCCTAATTTTTCTTGAATGCCCTCCTCCTCCTTCTCCTTACCCTTCCTCTCTCTCTCTCGCCCTCTCCACCTCTGCTCCTTATTCTTCCTCTCATCCTCGTTCTTATCTCTTTGAGGTGATCCCCGTTTTACTGCACTTTCTTTTTCTCTTCCATTCCTTATTCCAAAGGGTTGGGGGCGACACCAACTTT